TAAAATTTTAAATTTCCACTCGATTTTTCTGGGTTTCCATCATCAGATCTTGACCTGGTGAACATGAGACAAACTGGAAATCATACCCTACTGAACAAAAAAAAAATCCAAATCGGTCCAGGAGCCTTAAATAATCGGATAACATAAAAAAAAAAAATCCCGACGAATTGAGAACCTCCACCTTTTTTTAAAGTCGGTTAAAAATATTATTAATTTTTAAATAAGTATTGAAAAAGATGCTAACGTGTTAATATACATTATTAAGTTACACTGTCCCAAAAGTAGCTGAACAACATAAGCGTCAAAATTATATTACCACAGTGCAACATAAAAAATATACTTTGTTAACCTAATTTTGACTTTTCTGCTGTTTACTGACTTTTGATACAATGATGTTCAGCGACATTTGGATTGATGGCGTACAGCGACTTTAGGACTACTATAGTGCACAGATACTTTTGAATTAGTCGTGTTTAACGACTTTTGTAAATTTCTGATGTACAGGCTATTTTGTTTCCTAGTTGTGACTATAACTTTTGGCATTTTATTGTGAACAGGTGTTTTGGAAAGTTGATTCTGTTCATCGACTTTTGGAGCTGACTGTACCTAGTCGTGCAACACAAATTTGAGGCATCCCCGTTAAGTTATACAATATTTGTGGTGGGGTTGCCTCGCCCTTCCCTTAGCTTCAAGGTAAACAATATTGTGGCAGAAAATTTAAACATCATTTATGTTTAAATTTTCTGCCACAATATTGTTTAAGGTTTCAGTGTAAGGCAAATTTAGTTAAATTATTAAAGAAAAAAGAAATAAAAATGTTTGGACAATTATCGTAACCATATAAAATACAGAATGGAGCATGTATGTATAAGTGAATGTGTGAATGAGTATGTTTGTGTGTGTGAAAGAGAGAGTGAGTATGTGTGTGTGTCTGTGCGTGCGGATGGTGATTGTGAGACCTTCGCTAACAAATGCGAGCCAGGATAAGCTCTGTTTCCTCATAGGATAAGTTTCCTAACCATTCAGTTATAGTTATAGACATATGTACAATACACATTAAATACAATATTTTTTTAATTGGCCAAGCCCGTATCCTGTGACTATCTTGGCCCGCAACAAAATAAATCAGAGGATAGTTATTATTTGGTTCATTCGATTATTACTCGGTTCATTATATGCAGGAGACAGAACTCCCAATTAGGCATCAAGGGTCAAAATAAGACTGTACAACTGAAGCCCAGTCACTAAACAGCGCGGAAAGTTTATTTTTTAATGGGACCTATGTCTGAGCTGCTATACTGGTTTCTACCACTAATATGTATGGCAAAAACGCACGGTTCTACATTCCACAAGGTCTATAGACAAACGACACCTGATGAGACATTATAATTATCTAACAAAGTGTTATGTTCGTAATATCAGAGACACTCCCAGAGTATATGATGGGCGGAGTGCTCGTATTGCTTAAGTTCCCCTGTCAAACCAATTACTATGGGGAGTCAAAGTTTAAATGAAAATGATCCACCTTCAACCATGGTTGGAGGTATGCGTGTATTTTATGTGATAGAACAGAGACATCATCATCTTCTCCATCCGCTCTTGTACAAATAGAAAAAACTGATTCAGGGCAGCCCTTGATAGAAGATTCCCATCTACACCGCTATTTAGTAACAAGTTCATCCCAGTGGCTAAACATTCTTACAATTTTGTTTCGATCGCGTTGTGCTAGAAAGTTTGCAGATAAGTTTAGTCTTAAGATCGACGGGACGTAATACCGCGAGCATGGGTAGAAACTCCGTGTCCTGTAAAGCTTACACAATAAATATTATTCTCACCCTCTCAGCCCAGACCGGTACCCCGTAGCACACACATCTCAGGTAGGTAGATGGTCATGAATGTGGAAAAAGAGACACCCCAAGTAGCTTTCAAGATTCATTAGACAGCGTATAGAAGCATATAAAAATTATTTTTGGCTTTTACATTGATAACATTGTAGGAACTAGATGAAAGAGCCTAAATGTCCTACAAGAATAAAATTTAGGTGTCTTCAAGGCTAGAGTGAATAGGCTCTTAATAAACTAGTGCGCCTTATTATCAACGATTGCATCACTCCTTACCAACAGGTGGGATCGCAGTCAAACACTAGTTTATTGCAAGTAAAAAAAAAAATAAAAAGGTCCTTCTTCTTGTTAAAAAAACTTCGTTGAGATACGAATTTCAGAATGATTTATTTAGCTTTTTTACGCTTAGTATATTACAGGACGGCGGTGGGGCTTAATCTTGGTGACCGGTATGAGTAACTTGAGCTACGCTGATGATATGGTCCTGTTCAACCCCTCAATTAAGGGTTTAAGGAAACTGTAGCCAATTTGTGAAAAGTATGCGAGTGCACATAATTGGTGTATAACGCAAAGAAGACTGATTTACTAATATTTAGATCAGACAGGAAGAGATCCGGAAAATGTCCCATCAGCTTGGATAGCATGCAGCAGCTTACTGAGACACATCCTTCACCCGAGTCTCCTTCAACTCCTACTCTTGCGAATCTCTACTCAAGCCAGCAAATTAAGGCAATAATGCGGTAGGACATTCCTCATCAGTGTTCACTCCAGCCTGTCACGAGGATTAATCGGAGATGAAGAACAAGACACCTCCCGAGAGTCAGGTCCGTGGGGTCGCCACTGCCCAACAGCTCGCCATAAGCTGCCTTGCGGACTTTATTATTATTCTTCTGTTATGCTTTTAGCATTTCTCTCATCAAGTAGGGTCAAAATAGACATGGGCCGAAACCAAGTGCTGTAGTTTAGGCATTTAAAAACTTATGGGTAAGACGGCATGTGTTCAAAATAACGGCTTTTTGTAAAAGGAGAGAAGTAGATGTGTAACGTTTCATTGTGTTTTGTTTTTAATTGATAATTCTTTGTATTTGGCAATTTTTTCTGTGTGTGTGCTAACTTATTATTATATTTAGGTACATTATGTACGGTCTAGGGACAAAAGTGTAATTGCACTCTACCAATGCGAAAATGTGTTGAACAAGTTCAAGAATCTAAAACTTGACATTAATGACTTCAGAATCTATGCAACAAATTAATCAGTCAAAGAAACCCTTAACCCTCGACGAAAGGAAAACTAAATAAAACGTCAATATTTTTTAAATAATTTTATTATTTACTAAAAAGCAATAAATATATCGAACATAGACTCTATCAATAAATTAACAAAATTTATGTTAACTTTACATAAACTTCATATTTGGCATCACAGTACTTTCGAAATGTTATGTAGGTATGTGGTAACACACAGACAAATTCATCACTTCATTTACAAATCATTTTGGACGTTAAGACACTGAAATGAAAGTATATTTTGCAACAATCCAGCTGTAATTGAGATTTTTAAGAGCATATTTATAATTAAGTGAATTTTTAACAAAACTATTATTAGGTATCCTACCGTAATATACACTTCTAGGTCGATCCAAGACACATACTTTACCATTTCAAGAATTTGAACTACACAAAGACAATATTTCAAACGATTGATAACATACAAATGCAAATAACATTAATAAATCGAACCATACAAAACATTTAGTAAATCTTTTATTTTTTAATCTTGCAACATTTAGTTCAAAGCCATGTACACACTGGTGGGCTTGTAGGTTATGTCAAACGTTAAACTTTAACTCGTCACTTTTTTACACTGAAGAACTTATACAGACAATTTTAAATATTTATTGTAAACGTAGATAAACAATTTGTATAATTAATCACTAATTGCATTATTGTATATTTTATGTTTTTTATTTACGTCTATTCGCTATTGTCGCGCGTTCGCGTTAATGTGTACATAGCACAATATCTAAAATTATTAATTTATCTATAATTGTTACACTATAAAATGGTAAAACTTACATAAACGGTGCAAGTAATATCTTAGTGAAGTATGACAAAAATGTTATATAATAAATATCGATATCGATAAACTTTTCAACGTCAGAATCAGCACCACTATTGCATCGATATTATTTTAATATTAGAGAACCAATAAGCTTCATCTTAAGTCGAGGAAGAGACGTACCGAATCGGGAACCGAAGCATACACTTTTCTTACATTGTTACAAACTTTTGAGACTATCGATAATACTAACGCTCTCGCATATTTTCTATCGATTTACCAACTATTTTTAGGAAAAACAGTTATAATATTAATAGCCACACGCAGCCATCATAATCGCAAGCTATTTTAAATAGCTTTTAAAACATCAAACTGAGGATTTTTATAATCATTTTTGTGCCGTCTGGCGTTAGACTGAAGTAAGTAACAACTTTTTTTCACTTAACAAAAGCACCTCTACTTTGTAGCTGTTTAATGCTTTATTTTAAAAATTACAGGCTTCTCACAATATAATTTCATCTCCCCAAATCCGTAACAATGCTCACACATGTCTACTCGATTACATATTTAGTTCTACAAATTTGAGTTTTTACCTTTTCGAAACTCGACGCTATCTACAATCTCCTACTGGACTCTATTTAGCAAATTAATATAAAAATGGAACACATTTTTTGGAATTATATAGCCTAAATTAATATTTAGTAAAGGCTTTAAACGGCACTCAAATTTCAATAAGATATTCGATAATATAGAAATTTTTAGGCAATGCAAGATTTTTCTAAAACGTTTTGACGCCCATTGCTTTGCGAATTGACATTTATAAATTTAATTCCTAAACATCGATGTTTTACAAAAGCAATGGGATGGTACCCTTGACAATTAGCTTTAATTAGCACTTGACAAAATGCGGCCATTAGATACAGTAATATAATATTATTATGTATTCTGACTCGACATTACTCACTTCCAAGGATTTGATTTTATTTTATTGCATCACTTACAATGATATTAAAATGATGTCACAGATTATAAAAAATACAGAAGTCACAGATTTATCTACAAAACAACTACATATCAAGTTGTTAGCTTCTTGTGATAGTTTCTTAGTGAGTGTTCCCTCTGTATTTTTTATATATTTAGCATTACTGATAAATTTTTAGTGTTAATAGACGCGGTGCATTGCTTCATTGAGGATTTCTTCATGGATTACGCCGGAGTTTTGCGAAGAAGCTGTAACAGTTACAATTCAGTAATTGAGTTTTTAAGCCAACATATAACTTTGAATTGTTTCACAAGCTCTTTAAAAGGCAAATAAAAATCACAAATATATTTTTCCTTAAAAAAAATGTTACACACTAGGATTTTCTCCTGTGTCGTGGGTGCGTTTACAAACATACAATTTCACATACACATGACACCCAGACCCAAAACAACAATTTGTGGATCACACAAAGAGTTGTTCCGTGCGGAGATTGAACCCGCGACATGTTGCGTGACAGCCAGCTGTTTAACGGAAATAGCAGTCAAATCAATTGCAATAAATATTTAACGGAAGCTTATAATATGTTTGATATAATGTTCAATAATCTACAAACAATATTTAACAGTTTATTGTAATGGTGAAACGTAGAGCTTGTAAAACTAGCAAATAAAAATAGTAACAGCGAACAAAACTTACCAAAAAGTGTGTGTGCAGTGCAACATAAACGATGACGTGGAATGGACATACATACATTGTAATAATTCGGTACATTATGGCGTATTGTAGATATTTGTATCTTTATAACATGCAGTAATATTTATTAATGAAATAATTTTGGTATCAATTCCATGATCAAAAATGTTTGGCGAAGTATGTATATTATACACGTTGATCTAAAAAATAAAGTGGTAAAGTTTCATCAGACTAGACTTTCTTCTTTGAAATTTATTTTAAAAAAATATTTAAAATAAATCCGATTAGTCGTTTGTCTGAAAACAGTACGAATTTAAAGACAACGATATACCTATACATTTTTGTCTTCAACAGATTCTACTTCGATATTCGCTATATACGGTTTACAATAGGCCATAAAATACATGAGTGCCAGTGGTAAAGTGCATAACAAGTGGTGGTTGCAAAATGAAACAAAAACTACAGCTGGTACGTTTAATTTGTACAAGGAATTTCGTGAAGTGCTATTAACACAATTAGGGTGAAGAAAGTGACGATATCGATTGAATTTCATCGACTTTTTTGATAATAACTATCATTTATCAGGGCTGTTAACAAATAAAAAGGCTGCAAATAGTTCGAGAATGATCTCATATAATATCTTATACATGTATAACAACTTACAGGGATGCATCACAAGCAACAAGCTATGTTATATAATTGTATCTCCCGTCTATACCTATCTAGGGATCTTCTGAACTATGTATATAGCTTTAGATTTACATTGAAACTCGACTATATACTTTTAGAACGATTCAACATATTTACTTACTAATTTCGCTTTGTGACATTAGCAGGACAAGCACTAAACTTCGAAAATTAAGCAAAGTGCTCAAGCCGCTAGCAAAATTGACAAAAATATAATAACTAGCAGATCTATTCATGTTCAATACTACAGATTAACGGTTTTCCTATATTAAAAGCGTGTACAACATGCTTGTTCACTTTACAAAGCAGTGTAGACTCTACAAATAAAACACAATAAAATAAAAAAATAAATTATGCAACACAAAACACTGATTACTACGATCTAGTCATAAATAGTACTTAAACATTTATAATAAAATGCAAAATGTTCACATTAAAAAAAAAGATAACAATATTTTCATGTTGCAACACTAGTCAATTAAAATGAAACAGATCTGTAGTCAAAACGAATAAATTAAAAAATATAAAATTCATTAAAATAATATAATTAATAAAATATGTTTTGATTTAGGCAAGACATGATTAAATTCTACAACATTATAATTATTTTTTTCATAAATTGTTAAACATTTTATATTAAAAATCTCGATTCTAAGATAAAAAATTAATCATTCTCAAAATTATTTTCGTAAACATCGAATATAAAAGTGATTTCTTTGAAATCGTGTGATTGTTAGTCAAAGTTGTATAATATTTTTATTTGACGAAACACTTAAATTGTTCTCCAAGGTACGTGGACATACACAGATAGTATAGACAAAAAAAACTTATTAAAAAATCGATATCGATAAATCGAAAAGTATCGATGGAACATTGTTCGTAAAATGTACATTTCTAAGCGTCACCGACCGTTTTAACGGCACCATTTTATTTGTGAATAAAAACTGTACAGATCTGAATATTTTTATATTGTTTTATCATTTAAATTACAAATAAATAAGAGATCAATGTTTGTGTGTTGGTGCGTGGGGTAAAACGGTCGTAAGTGGCGCGTGTCGCAATAAATAAAAGTAATATTAAAACTATATCATACATCGTGAAGTTCGCCTTTCGATCGCCTTATTTCTTCCTCTTTAATTTCGGTATCCTGAAAGGCGTGCGTGTGAGTTAGGAGCAGGCACATGTGAATTATATATAGATGGTAACTGTGAAACTATTTACTAGAATAGCCCAAAACCTATGTGAATATATCCCAGATACCATAGTATACAAAATTTACAAATGAAATAGTACGTAACTACTATTCCATAATAACTAATTTATATTTCTTATACTGGAATAGCCCTCTTAGACAAATTATTGGCATTGGTTATTTCATTGACTCATAAATCATTCATCATCATTCATTTATTCAATCAATCATCATTTAAATCATAAAATTTTACTTTAGCTAATGTTTTTAGAAGCGAAGAGACCTAGTTGAAATTCAATGCTGAAATGGCTCATACGGAGGGACAAAGTAATAGCAAGTAAAAGATTCAGTTAAAAAAAAAATCACTGGGGTTTTTCGACTTTAAAATTCACAGTAACAAATTACTCCTAAACATTTCCTATTCTTTATCATTATTTTGTTTCACAGTTCTGTAAGGTAAATTTTAATGTATTCAAAATGCATTGGAGATTTCTTTTATTAAATACGATGGGGATGTAAGGTCGAATTGTAATTCCGTCGTGAAATTAGTCAAGTGTAGGTTGCGTGCCATTATTTACATTAGTATGTACGGGCGGTGTGGCTAATCTACGAAATATTAATTAATTATTATCTTACCCTGAACTCTTCTTGTGTGGGGAACTTTGTGACTTTTCAGACTCCAGTAACTTGGTGGTCGAATCCTTCATAAATCCTGTGAAATATTCGTTAAGTTTAAGTTTGGTAGTTGAAGATAAAAATGGTTATATTTTTGTTCTTAAATTATTCAAGGATTAAGTCAGAAGATTTATGTGTGTTTTGTAGAAAATCGTGTCAATGATTGCGATTTACAAATATATAAATCAGAATTTTTTTTTTATAGGTACTACTTGTATATAAATATGTAGTTCGTTTATCAAAATAGTTTTAGATTTATTAATCTTACCTTTGCCTGAAGAACCGAAGACAGAACTGCCCAAATTGTTCAGACTGCTCGTAAAGTTGTCAGCTTCTCTCGCTACCGCCTCTGCAGCAGCTTGCTCAGCCCCTCTGACTCCCTCCGCGACCTCTCCCAGTCTATCACCAACAGCCTCTACTCCCTCCTTGCCTGCTCCCTTGATCTCCTCAAGCTTATTATCAGCTGATACTTGGAAACCCTCAAAACCACCCTTTACGTCACCGAACAACTGTTTCGAACTCTCTTCAACGTGTTGTTGCGTATCTGACAGGACTAACTTAGCTGAATCATCAAGACTGTCGAAGGTATTACCAGCTGAACTTTGGAAGGAATGAAGAGTGTCTTCAGCAGAGCTGCCCAGGCTGTGAACGTCATCCCTCATGGAGGCGAACGTGTCTCTGGTCGAGCTCTGCATCTCATCCCACTTGTCCTTGGCCTCGCTCACTTTATCCTTCGCCGAACTTTCGACCTTATCGAAAGTACTCAAGGTTGAGTCTTTAGCGTGATCGAATGCCTGTTTGGACGACCTGTGTAGGTCGCTCGCTTTGTCAGCAGCCGATTGTTGTAAGAATTCGAATTCTTCTTGTCCTGAATGTTTGACTTCGTCGAACTTATTGCTTAGACTAGTTTGTATTTCTCCTTTTTTGTTTGATGCTGCATTTATTGCATCTTCTGCTGATTTACTGATTTGTTCTGTCGTCAGTTCAGCTTCATGCCTTATCCTGTCCAATTCACTTTTCGCTGCATCTTTCTTGCCATGGAACGCCTGTCCGAATTCGTCGGTTTTGCTCTGTATCGCGCCGCCTACAGCTGCTGTTTTATCGTGAACTGCTTTTGATGCTTCGCTGGCTTTGTCGTGGACTGCGTCTTTCAGATCACTGGCTGTACTTTCAACTGATGATTTCATTTCTGAAGCTTTATCTTTAGCTGAATCCGCTGCTTCTTCCGCCTTATCATGTCCAAAGCTGAATGTTTCACTGATAGCATGACCGATTCCACTGAACGTGTCCTTAATAGCTTCTCCGAAACCGTGGGATTTCTCGTGAACTTCGTGACTTATTTCTCCAGCTTTATCGTGAACGGCGTCCTTGGCTTCTGATGTCTTATCGTGGATCGCATGTCCGACATTGTTTGCTGTGTCGTGAATGTTGTTGCCTACATTACTAGCCGTTTCATGTACTGCGCTTCCGAAACCAGTGAACGTGTCATGGATAGCATTACCAAATTCATTCGCTTTGTCCTTGGCTTCGCTGGCTTTGCCTTGAACTGCTTGTCCTACTTTATTAGCACCATCTTGTACTGAATGTCCAATCTCGCTGGCCTTATCCTTCGCCTCAGCAGTTTTGTCTTGTATCGCCTGACCAAATTCATTTGCCTTCTCCTTAGCTTCTGAAGTTTTTTCCTGTAATGTTTGTCCGAATTTGTTTGCTTCGTCGTTAATTGCATGTCCTACTTCACTGGCCTTTTCTTTAGCTTGGCTTGTTTTTTCGTGGATAGCATCTCCTAGTTTTGATGCCTCATCTGCCACGGATTCTTTAAAACTGACAGTTTTGTCCTGAATGGTATGCCCTACATCAGCAGCAGTTTCTTGGATAGAATCTTTGACTTGCTTTGATTTGTCAGCCACAGCGTCTTTGGCTTCGGCTGTTTTATCATGAATAGCTTGTCCTACTTCAGAAGCAGTTTCATTGATGGCAGCACCAACTTCATTGGCTTTATTCTTGATGGCATCTTTGGTTTCGCTAGCCTTTTCTTGGGCAGCTGCTGCCGTGTCGTGAATGGCGCCTTTTACCTCATCGACTTTACCTTCGACGGATGCCTTTATTTCGCCAGTTTTTGACTCAACGGCCTGCTTTGTTTCAGCCGCCTTATCTTGAATTGATTTCTCAATTTCAGTTTTTTTGTCATGTGCAGCTTGCTCGGCTTGCTTCTTCTTTTCATCTACACTATGCGCTAGTTGTTCAGCTCCTTCTTTAAGTTCATCTTGTTTCTTAGCGACAGCGTCTTGAAGCTCATCTTTTTTCGCTGCAGCTTTATCCAAGGCTTGGCTGGCGGATTCTTTGCCTTCAGCGATTTTACCTTTTACTTCTTCTTCGAGTTTTTCTTTTTCTCCGAAGATATTGTGAACCAGACCGGTGAAGAAGTTTTTGCCTTCCTTCGCCTTCTTTTTGGCTTCTTTTGCCTCTTTCTTTAGCTCCTTCTTTGATTTCTCCTTGGCTCCTTCTAAAGAGTCGCCCATAGACTGGAGCTTTTCATTTGCAGATGCCTTCGCATTGTCTAATGATTCCTTAGCTCCTGATTTAACATCCTGAGCTTTACTACTGATAGCATCTTTAGCGTCATGGACAGCTTCTGAGACTGCATTGGCGCCATCTTGTGCTTTGTTCTTAAGATTGTTGGCAGCACCTTCAGCTGCCTTTCCTACTTGAGCAAGTTTCTCACCTTCACGGAGCTTCGTTTCTTCGGCCTTTTCCATAGCAATGAAGTTGAGCATCATTGCTTTACTGTTGATATCATCCTTAACAACGCCAGCTTGATGGATAACGTTATCAACAAGGTCTTTAGCTGAAGACTTAGCGTCTTCAACGTCAGAAGAGATGTTATTCTTCAAATCATCAGCCTTATTCCATCCGTCTGCTTTAATTTTCTCTGCAGATTCCGATATATCGGTAAGCTTAGCGCGAGCACCATCTTCTAGTTCGTGTAATTTATCCTGAGCACCAGATTTAGCTTTCTCAAAATCACCGAGTAGATCATTGGCTGCATCACCAGCTTTGTGTTTAATTTTATCCTTTTCATCTTCGACTATGCATAAGCCTTCTGCGAGATCACCATGTATTTGATCAGAGACATCATGGAGTTTCTCATGAGCAGCGAAGTGTGCTTGTTCTATCCTGTCGACGACATTGGATGTCTCGTCATGGCGATGTTTCTGGCCCTTCTTATATTTTCCTTCGCAGCATCCGACGTAGAATTGGAACGGATCCGTTTTCTGGGTGCAGACTGGTGTTTCAACGGGTTGCATGCGCTCATACTGTTCGTAGAGATTATCTTCGATGGGTTTTGAGTTTTCTTCATCTACAACGAGTTTCGTTGCGTAAACTTGATTGTTAACATCCTCATCTACTTTCTGGTTGGGTGCAGTTTTTAAGTCTTTGAACACATCGTCGATTTTACCTAACAGATCTTCGCTGATAAGTCTGGGAGCAGGTTTTGGTGGTGGTGACTTTTCTTTTTCCTTAGAATCTCTTTCCTTGGAGTCCCTTTCTTTGGATTCTCTAGGCTTGGGTTGTGGTTTGGGAGAGGTTTCTTTTTCATCTTCTTTGTCCTCGCTATGGCTGAAGACATTTTTGACTTTGTCTGCGAGGCCACCGAGGAATCCAACGCCTCCTTCTGGCTTCTTTTTGCCTTTCTCAAGGGTGTTCATTGGGGTCTTGTCTTCGTCTGAATCGAATGTTGCTTTAGCCTTGTTTGAGTCAACGTGAAGAGCACCGCCATTGACTGTTTTGTTAAAAAGTAATAATACAAATTAATATATTTTTAAGTTATTTACTTATTGATACTGATTTTAATAATTAGTCGTAACTCTTACCTTGAGGTTTAGAATCTTTGTTATCATCAGTTTCCTTCGTTTGATATTTAACGTCGCCATTGGTAATGATCTTGTCCTGAAACAACAGTGGAAATAAATAGTAATTTCAGGTTCATTTAGACTTTATTATTAGATTGAGTATTTATTATTAACACATAAATAAAGTGTAATTTCTTATCACTGTTCATTCACAACTAATTGCGACATACTCTTTTTCTTATTACAAGGTATCCATAGTCTATGAACTATAAATATATATACTAACATGTCCATTGAGTTGCTTGTCATGGGAGTACGGCAGGGAGGCAGGTCCCAGGCTGTTGTTGTGGTCGCCGCTCCAGTGGAAGCTCAGCTCATCCTTCAGCGCGTCGAAACCTTTCGAAAGTAAAAATTGGTTTTAGAATTCTGATAAAACGGTTTGTTTTCTATTATATTACATGCCTATTGAAATGTATTGCAATTAGTTTTCTTGTTACGATAAGAATCCGATCTGAATCCGATCCGATCCGAACCCATGAAAATATGGCATTATATCCGTTGTCGTTTTTCAAGGAATATCCATCTTCTAAGGAATGTCAGAGTTTTCTAGACTAGTGTATGTTTTGGACCGGACGCAGTATGGAAGCGCTCTCAGAAGTGTTTTTGATCGCACGTTCTAGAATCTAAATTAATAACTGTATATATGTTTATTTGCAAATAATTAGATATAGGTTTAGCTGTAATATTTGGTATTGTTTCATCTTCTAACACTTACACAGTTCAAATGATTCGATTGTCTAATATAAACAGTACGAATTCTTTAACCGAATAAATCGTGTAAAGGTAATTACGATTAATTTCCCTATTTTCAGATGAAAAATTTTTATCAATCGAGAGGGTGTGTCAGACTCTAACTGACAAATAACCACCCCTTTCCTTCTTCTGGTATTTTGGGGCGGGGACCACGGTATCTTATTGCGCTTGACCCGTAACCACACAATGTTATCTTGTAGGTACAGCGCCATAAAGCGCACGCCAGGAATCTTATTTAACACTATAGAGAAACATAGATAGCACCCATAAGTAGACCAAAAAAATATTATGCCTCTGTGCTTACCAGATTGGTCCAAGTTGAGGTAGTCCACTTGGCTCTTGCCAGCGCGCGGTGCAATACGCTCCGGCAGTTCCACGTCCAATACGCAGGCGGGGGTCTGCGACTGCTCGCCTTTGGGGACCTGGGACATACACATACATTATTAGGCCGGTACAGACAGATATCTTTTTTTGTGAGTGGAAAATCATCACACATCATCACATGGACAGAATAACATATGGAAGTATATGTTATTCTGTCCTGTATTTTAATATTTGTATCCAAAAATAACCAAATTTGTATTTTTTGGTGACTTTTGTTCATACTAAAATGTATCTTTTCACTAGCAAGATAAAGTTATAATTTCTATGCTTACCTTAGGTTCATTCATGAAGTAGATCCTGCCTGATGGATTCTCCTCGTGATGTTTGACGCGCACGGTGAACTCCACGCGGTTGTCTTTGAACGCCTGGAACAATTGGAACATATTTAACACGCTGTAAGAATGGTTACGGTTTGATGAGTACATTCGCTTAGATAGAATTAAACCCTATCACATTGGAATAAAATTGAAAATGTGTCAATAAAATGTAGAGCTAAGCAATCTGACCGAGATTGTCGGAAAGTAGATAACAGATACAGAATGAAAAGAAAATCTCCAATTAATTACACTTTAATTAATTATTACTTTAACATATGAAATCAAAACCCCCATTCAAGCTTATCTCTCCATTTAATTATGCAAAGACAAAGAATCGAAAAGCGGGTACTTCATTACAATTAAAATACAATACTTTGAACACTCACAAATAACGTTTTTATTTTGCATTTTATTCGAGATGGTGTGTCGTTAGATCGAAAATGAATATCAAATATGTCAGAGACACAGTTATCACAACTAAAAAATATATAATAAAATTTAATATATTTTTTTTGGTTTATTGCATAGAACTCTGGAAAAATATATTTTTATATAATTATTATTATTTTACTTCATTCAAATTGTTTAGTAATGATTTGGTTGAAGCCAAAATTTCGCAATTGTTTATTGAAACTTACCTCGAAGGTCAGCATGGGTTGACTGCCAGACTTGGTGACTGGGACAAGGTTGCCAGAGAACTCCAGGTACACGTCCTTGCCGTCCAGGAACCGAACTGATGTTGAGTGGGCTACTTCTGTGTAGTGTTCCTGGAAAAATACGTTTTATTGTTCAATCTATACTAATATTATAAAGAGGTAAAAGTTGTAAGTTTGTTTGAAGGGGTAATCTTTGAAACTGCTGGTCGGAATGCCAAAATTCTTTCACTGATAGATAGCTACAATGTTCCTAGTACTATAGGCTATAAAACATCACGCAACGATTAAATGGAGCCGAACAGCGGGTGATGCCGCGCGAGAGTAGCTAGAAAATTATATGAGGAGAAGAAATTTCAGGAAAAGAAACACTTTCCACTGTAATAGAAAATGAGACAGCTTAACCCGTGGTAGCCCGCGAGCAGATCCACGCGAGATACAATGTATTTTTTATTGTTTGTCACATACCGACAGACAAGAGGTTAATGTTTTACATACCTGCTGCAGAAGGGTCTCGTAGGCGTATCTGTCAGTGATGGTCATGACGAGGAGTCGGCCCTCCAGCGCGTCCAGACGCTTGCCTAGCACCACTATACGCACGTCGAACGGGACTAGGAGCATCTCTCTAAAATAAACAAGAAATAAGATAGTATTAATATCATAAAATAGTATTAAGTGCCATGATTTTAAACCTTTTTTATGTGGTACGTCGGCACACCTGATGTACACCTGATGGTAAGCTAGAATCGCCGCCTATGGAAACTCGTAATAAAGGATTTATAAGTGCGTTGATTTGGAGATAGATTTAAGGATAGAGGATTACTAAGGAACGGTTTAATGGCAACCAAGCCGGTCTGCAATATAGCAAGTAGCAATTGCGTCTTAAGGGAAATTTGAGGATTGGGGATCAAAGAGAGGGGAGAGATGGGAGGGATGGAGAATGGAAGGGAAGGGAGGGGGAATGGGCCTTTGGTAACCTTACTGACACAGCGAAAATTAACACAGGCGTTTTTTCAAGCCACGTTTCCTTGCCATCGTGGTGTCACATAGTCAAGTTGGCTTATTTGAGACGAAGCATAGCTTCCTTACAATATCGTATATGAGTAAAAGAGAAAACATAATAATTTAATAGTTCATTACCTGTATAGTTCAGTGGCCAGTTTGGTAGCATCGCTGACGTTTTGACAGTTCATCATCCAGAATCTGAAATGGAATTTATAAACGTTTATTATGATTGCATGGTTGACAGGTCCGATACCAGTATTTAATAAATTATTATTCCTGGTCTGGGTATATGTAAATTTGTATATGGGTATATGTTTATTTGTACAATGATATTGCATATCTTTATTATATTATATATGTAAGTAATGTATCTATCATACAGTCATAAAATTTTGTTATATATACTTTTGTCACCTGCCACTCTCATCTCTCCACCACCTGAAGGTCGACTGTTAGACAATGCCTTAGGCATTAAGTCCGCCTGTAAATTCTTTTGTATGGAGTGTATAAATAAATAAATAAATTCGTTATAGACACTCCCAGCACACAGGATATATTTGAAGTGTATTTTAGGCGTGGTTACCACATAATTATCTGACGTTGGCTTAACTTCGGAAGATAAATATGTCAGTTATATGTATTAGTTACCTGGCGGATACAGTAGTGGTGAAAGATGCGCAATCGTCTGTGACAGTGAGGGGCGTGGACCCCGTCACGTCCTCCCACACGGCGCGTGCCTGCCCTCCCATTATGGAGCATAGCAAGCGCAGGTTCGACGTCGACGGTTTCTCCGTACTGTCCTGTAAGTTACAATGTTTTTCATGTATATTTTCATTTCGTATATAAATTCAGATTTTCATGGCAAAATAATAGCATTGTTGCTTGAGTGATCACTGGTATACAAGGCGTATTTCTATTTTTATTAATATACAAAGAAAACATAAAACTATTTATTGTTTATGAACAACAAAAAACGTGTACTAACATAGGAAAATAAATACAAAAATAGCGGTACTTGACTTACATAGGTAATTTCTTTACTTGTGACCAAGAAATATATTATTTTATATACATAGACCACAACTACTGCTTGTATGACAGTTCGTAAAATTTTTATTTGTATGATTCTCTATTTATGTAAGGTATGACTACAGCTAGGTTGGCAAGTTTAACACTTTTTTAATATTGACGTTTGATGATATTGATTTTGCGTCATTTCTTCAATGATTCAATTTTAAAATATAAAATTTTCTTTAAATTCTCTTAAAATTTTCTTTCAAAAATATTAAACAGTTTAAAATTTAATTAATCAACTAAATTATCAACCGCTCCTTTTAGATATCAGTTAGGGCTGATTTTTCAATGGTTAGATGAAAGTTATCTGGAGTGGGAAATATGATGCTGTCGCGTCGGAAAGTTTGTATCAGACAGTGTAGCGTAGTGTATATATATAGGTAATAATAATGAAAAAACAATAACGTACGGGCAAAGCCGGCAGGGGCGCAGTGAGCGTGATGGAGCGATGGAACTTGCGTCGTCGCGGCTCGACGGTGAGGACGGGCGACACGGCGGCGTGGCGCGGCAACAGGCGGCGACACTGCGCCGCGCCCGCCGCCTGCGCCTGCAGACCCACGCGGATGCGCTTCGTTAGCGCCGCCGCCGGGAACTGAGCTTGGACCTGCAACCAGGGTAGGGCTTAGTCTTCATACTTTAAGATAATGTTTAGTAAAGTCCTAAATGAAATCTTTGATATTTCATATTGTGGAATTCAATAAGCTTTGTCTTTATTTCAAGTAAACGTGATATAAATCAGCTATTAAACTTCAACAAATACAATCATTTAAAATCAAAGTATCGATACTTTTTTCCCTTCACTATTAGGTAGCAATAAATATTGCAGTAATTAAAATTCACAGGTTTTTGTAGCACGATATGACGGCATTTTAGCGCTGATATATCAAGAACAACATCTACATCACACATCATCACACTATAAGTGGCCACTGCTGAGCAAAGGCCTCTTCTCACACGAAGAAGGTTTGATCATTAACCACGCTTGCTCAAGGCAAACTGGCGATTTCAAACTTATAATTAGACATTATAAGTCCAAGTTTCCTCACGATGTTATCCTTCACGGTATGTCAGTGGCGTCTAAATAATCATAGAAAGTGCATATAACTCGGAAAAAGTCACATTGGTACCTACTCGCCAGCTTTCGAAAACCCATCATGATAGAGATGCAGGCGTTTTGATCTCCAGGCCACCACGATATTCATAATTTTAGTAGCAAAATATGCCAGTAATTTAGTGCTATCAGATTTTTATTTCATCAAGAATTATTTATATTTAGAAAGTTACTTACTTGTGGTATATGCGCGCTGGAGATGGTTCCTCCCTCGGGCCCGATGACGTGTACCTCCTGCCGCACGCGCGACACGCAGGCGAGGTAGTGGGGGAAGTCGCACGTGATGATGCGCGTCACTCGCTCCCCACTCTCCCCTATTGTCTCGTTGCCACCGTACTCCTGTCTCTCGCGTTGTAAAGCCTCCTGAAAATGGAAAAGTGAACCTTATAACAAGTGAAATTAAGCTAAAAACAAGTTGATCAAAACAAAACTTTCTAATGATTTCTGATCCTGAATGAGGATCATATTATTTAAGAGTTAGTCATGCATTGACGGAATCATTTTTGATGTCACCACAGAGCTTTACGTTGTAAGCTTTGTTATAAACTCACTTACTGCAGTATTTTTGGGCAAAAAGCATATCTACTTACCTATTTTTACGTTTTTAAATTTTATTTAAGTCAGCTGTTTCTGAGTTTGTTAGAGGTGTTGGAATATTAAATGTTGTATATCATATATAACATTAGCTAACCTGGCAAATGTAATTTTGCCATATATATGTATGTACATAAGTCAAAAAAATATATTTTATAGCAGCCAGTAGCCTATTCTTAGACCTACTGAATATGCATGTGAAAATTTGGTAAAATCACAGTAAAGCCGTTTTGGAGGATTAAGGTAACTAACATTTATATAACAAATTACTTTATTTGTAATTTGTATATATAAGATATCAGAAACTACATGATTTTTAGAGCTCAAAACCTTTTTTATAGCCAAACCCAGAGGGCATTAGAAGCAATATTTCATTTGGTGCTACTAACCTGTATCAGTGGGTTGTCGTTGTTGTGTAGGTAGTGATCTTGCCATGTCTCGCCGGTGTCAGATCTCAATATGACAATCTCGCGCTCGCGGCACGACGATGTGTATATTGGTACTTCGATCACCACTGGACTGTTGGTGGATAAGGTTTTACTTATTAATCATACAAAAGCGTCATTGGATGCGAAAATTGCCTTGGTAGCACGGGGTCTGGAAATTAATGTCCCGCTTATTTGTAGCCTCTGTTAAATAGGAACTTTTAAATAACTGATTAAACGTTGGTATTATATTCCCGGCCCACGACTTCATCCGCTCTTAATACCGCAGACCGCATTTTAATAAATTATACACTTAAACATTGAAAAAAAACTGCATCAATATCTGTCACGTAGTTTTTAAGATCTAAGCATACACAGGGACAGACAGCAGGAAGCTATTTTCTTTTCCATGTTTCAATATACATGTCTGTTAAAACTCGCAGGAATAAACTTAACACATTATTTTTACTAATGATACTTAAGGGTGAATTTTGTAGAACAAGTTAAATTACTGTAATATACTTACGCCAAGAACTTAGCGCCCTGTGGTTGTAGCTCAAGCAACCTTGAAGCTAGGGCTTCGCCCTCCATAAGTGGTGGCGGGGCTGCGGCCGGGGCTCGCCGGGTGGCAGCCCTGCAGGTGACACGGGTAGGGGCTGCGCAGGCGGCTGGTGGTACTATGATGCGCACGCCACCACGTCGCTTTGCCTTCATCGCACCACCTCGCGCATCCACCACAAACGAGACCAGAAAACTGGGGATAAAAAATAAAAGTTTAAAATGTGACTTACTGAAATGGTATGACGATTTCTAAAGATCAATTTCGAAAGTTAAAATTTACGCATTATTTAGTATTATTATTTTTACAGATGAATAGATATATTTAAAATTCTAATGATCATAAGTAATTAATTGTTGTTTCCACTGCTTTTACGCGACTGCACCAGAATTTATTAACATTCCATACAATAAATATATCTGTATAGAATGAACGTTTATCATTAAAGATTCATTTAGTATAGTTTCTTGCTCGTTCTTCTCTATAGGAATCTACACATTGGAAGTAAAAAAGTAGTACCTTAAAATATCAATAAACATGTTCAAAAATGTTGTTTTTCTTTATTAAATGTAATTTAATTTTAGTATTTTATAAGTTAGTGATAGCACCCAAATTTGTAACGCCTGAAAAAGGCCTTTAAGTTGTGCCTGTTGTTCATTTTAAACCCTTGTATTACTTTAACAAGCAAATAAAGGTTTCAGTTTGAGTTTTGAGTTTCAATTTGACTAACATACAAGGTTGAACTTTATGATATTTATATGTATTTTTTGACGTTCAAAAGTGTCTTTTTGAAATAAATGATTTGCCTTCGACTTTGAATAACTAGTGGAAGAAATATGAAGCGAACTACATAGTTACTATAAAGTCCTCAAATGATTCTGTTATCATAAACATACCCAATGTCCAGTGGTTGTCTGTCGATGGTGGCGACCTTCCTGTCATTGTTGCTGGGCCAGAGATGTCCATCGGTGACAGTGTCCTCGAGCGGCTTGGCCCGGTGCAGCGTACCCGCCTCACTGTTCATGTAGCGGTATTGTTGCTGCTGTTGGATCGGGCACTCTACCTCGCCTGGAAAAAAGAATGATAGGTTTAAGAATTGGGATACCTTACTTACTTCAAGTTAGTATATAGTAACTAAAACCACTAGTTTAGTCATATGTTCTCGATATCAGGAAATATCTAATATGACATCTATTGAAATGGATATGTCTAATGAGCCCAAACTTCACATATGTATGTACAAGTAGGTAACAGATTTCCAGAAAGCTAATTCCCTATGCCATCGTCAGATCAGTTCGATGTTATTAACATATTATGGTTGAATTCATTGAAAAAAACATTATTTTGTTAAAAGTCTTATGAATGAGAAATACCACGAAAATTATTTTTATGGTACCTATAGGCATTTAATCTATGTCCACATAATTACTTAGTTTCAAAATTATATAAGAATTAGTATGTGATACAGATTATCTTTTAGATTTTATTTCATTGTTTGTGTTGATTTCATTCAGAGGTCGACTTTGAAAAAAAATTACCCATCAATTGATGTTGATTCCCTGACTCAATGCAATGAATCCTATTCAAGGATTAGGTAATTTACATATAATATCTGACAACTACTTCTTTTAACATACGAGGCTATCATGGATGGATTTTTGTGTAGGTAGGTAAGTGGTATCTAGGATTGCTAATTAAGAAAACTCATTATCACCCTACCGTTTTTAAAATCAAAACCATGTTCCGCAGCAAAATGTTAAACAAAAATCGTGAGTTACATTTGCAATTTTACAAAAATAATTTAATTCAAACATCAATTTATTTAATATAAATCATCAAATTCTTTCAAAGATCGATATGAATTCGGATACTGTTGGAATCAGGTCAAATGTGTAAGATATAGTTAGTTGACCTCTTTTCTCGACGTTTGACAGACGTAAATCGTGCCCTTGGGTCTAGTTATAAACTTAGTGAGTGATTTCCATCGTCAGGCTTGTGGTAAACAGTATTGGATTATGTAGATATTATTTGGAGGTTGATTGATATTCGGTTTGTCTAATTGTTTGTTGTTTATACAGACAAGTCTCGGTGGTAAATGAACGAAAATTTGGTCTTTTTCAATTTATGACTGTATGTTGCATCCGAAATAGAACTCTATCATGACATAATTTTAAGGTTGTATTTGATTCAAGCAGTGCTTTTGGCGAAAATTCGGTATAAAAAATTTTGAAATTGCAATGAATAAAATTACCTACATATATCATTATTTTTAAATATTAGGAAGTCGTGAATTTTATTAACTACGAGCGATTATGTTTGAAAATTCAAAACCGTATATTTCGAGAAAAATCTTAAGTTAAAAAAAAACTTTTCATGAAAATAGTTTTGGAGTTATCTAAACACATCTTTCTACAAGTTATGAGTGGCTTTATTATACAAAGCTGGTACGTACGTGGAGACCGACATTTTTCTTCAATAACTAAGTACTATAAACTGCGCGTGGGCAACATTATGCGAGTAATAGATCACGCAATTTCGTCTTGAATTTGAAGAATTCAACTAAATATTATGAAAAATAGCGTGGGAGAGTCATGCTTCGGCAAGAATATTTGGCTCTACAGATTCAGTCGATGTCTAGAATCGTGTGCTGCACTGCTCATGAATAAGAGTCCCGTTGTGACTTGAAACGAGTTGAGCTTAGCTCTGTAAGTCGTATTTTCATAGTTACTGCACAAAAATAGTTATCTAGAACATAGAGACCTCACAGCGTTTTGTTTCGCCATGTATGTAAAGTTTCCCCTCCTCCAATCGCTAAATCCCCGAAACCCTAATCCCAAAAATATCCGAACGCACTCGTAACTCCCCTGGTGTTGCGAGTGTCCAAGGGCGACATCGTTTGCTTACCATCATAAAAAGTGACATTATAAAATGTAGGGGCATTTGGATACAGGTCTACATCGGTCAAAGGCTACTACAAAAGAATGTCTCTGTCATTAAGCCCGCCTTTTAGGTTCAAGTTGCATAAAGAAGAAAAAAATAAAAAAAAAATAATTTGGACTTATTTGTCTTTATGTATATATAAACTTACCTCCTTCGTCCTCTGAGTCGCTCATGAATGTATCCTGCATTAATTCGGGTGCTGCTACTCTGTATTTGCCTTCTAAGCCACCTGAAACAAACAAATATGGTATTTAGTATGTTTATTTTAAAGTCTCTATTAACTTTTTCATCTTAATATTAAGTAAAACTTATGTATTTTCGCATTGTTTGTACGGTGATCACGATTAGCATCAAGTACGATAATTCCTGCTAATATGTATCTGCTAATTATGTTAATTAATTCATAAACGTATTTGTGTTTGATAAATCGACAAAAAGACGATAAACATAAATTTTGTGAAAAAAAAAACAATTTTTGTAATTATTCTACACTAGCGTTGTCTTAGTCACCATTTCTTAATTTTGATACTCTTTCTATGAGTATTACCGCCTTAGTTCTTATGCATTCGGTGCGTAAAAGAAGCGATGGAATATTCCATTTTACTGCACAAACAGGATCATTTACCAATAAAGATCTGCATCCCAAACTGCCTTTATATGGCCGCAATACAAAGTGCCGTTTTCAAAAGTCAATTTTGCTTTTACATTGAGTTCACTTAAAGGAACACAATGGCAGGTACTATAAATAAAACAGGATGCATATGAGTATTGTCAACCGTTTTATTGAGCCGATTTTTATCCAAGTTCCTTACAACGCCATCTATGGAGGAATTTACGAGATAATAAGAAAGTAACGGAGTTGGTAGTAATAATTGGCCAGTGTCAGACCTGGAACGGACTTACAAGTAAGTAATCCAAATAACAAACAAAAGATTTGGCTTATTTCAATAAATTCATTCATGCAAAATTACGACAAGATTGTCATATGGCTACAGTCAGTGATAGGAGGTTCCAAAAAGCTGCCATTCAATTACTGGTACTTCTCAGTATAAATTAAGATTATGTACGACCGTTTGGTTATACCTACAGATAGGCAAAAAAGGCCACTTTTTTAGACAATCTTTTATCAAATTTCATACACTATATACGCAGTGGATGAACAACCGTCTTCTACAACACTAATTCAATTCCCAACTGGAATAACTGCTTTTGTGATTTTATTTGTTCATATGGATATTTTAGCAATTGCATGTCAAATTTATATGTCTCAAACGCACTCACAGCACAGGGGAAAATGTGTCACAATAAAGACTTTTTATAGAAGAACGCGCGAGGAGTCATAAGTACTTGGCTGATATAAAAAGGAGTACGTTTGCATCTTGAAAATTCGAAATTCGAATCGGTTCGAAAATACCGCCGCCGAAAGATCATTCGACAAATTTTCTGTGCAACTTCTGTGCACTAATTCCAGCCTATTAGGCAGCCAGAGAAGTCTGTAGGTACCTACTCTAAATTGTGAGTAATTCGTCCGTATGTTTGTACGTAGGTTTGTGTGGCGGACACATGGTTAAAATATTTGAATTGTGTAATCCTAATATGCGGTGAACTCAATTGTTTATAAGGTCGTCTAGTTGCTAACAGATCTGTTCATGACATGGATTTTAACTGTTTTCGTGTTACGTTGCATAAATTGCCATTTTATTGCCTTTTAAGTGCATATGTCGTATTTAATGAAGAGTGTTATTTTGTGGTTTTTGAGATTTAGGAGGGATAGAGGGAGGGAGAGGATTGAGATTACATACACATGTCATCTCACTAACACAGCGAAACACAACGCTGTAGTTCTTTTACATCGGTTTTCTGTAAGGCCGTGGTATCACTCCGATCAAGTCGACCCATTCGTGCTGAAGCTTGGCTCTCCCGCACTTAAACTTTTTGCGATAGAGATATTTCAAATAAACTCAAAACAATTTGTTAAGATAATAAACTTTTCTTTAGACTAGTTCTAGGTTCAAACACTACCTACGCATCAAAGTGTATAAGAAATCTCCATTCACAGCACAGTATCACTTACACTATAAAAGAAAATATTCACACGAAGGTAATTGACTCACTTCTTACGAAATCTGAATGTGACACAATCGATACATTATTGCCACTAGTTATTGCAGTTTTACTTGCAAAATGTGGATATGCAAAAGTTTCATATAAAACTCCATCCAAAGGAGAATAAAAAGAACAGAAACTCTTTCTTCGCAGTGCTTTCTCTTCTCTGTAGGTTTATCAACCTACCGAGACCAAATTTGGAGGTCATCATCACCAGAAGTGACATCAATAGACTATACTATAGGCCTGACGATCTCCAGCCACAGAAAACGTGACTCTGCTGTCGGTGAGCAAGGGTAGTCCGACCAGAACGTATTTCACGCGCGTGAAAGAGCCAACCACCACAGATGGGGCCCAACACGGCCGATGTTCAGCCGGGGTTACGTCCAGGGTAATAAGGTGCCATAGCAGGAAAAGGAACGGGGAGGTTTTAGGAGAGGGATTATTTTTTTCCCTTGTTCGGTATTGGCCTGACAAACTAATATTGACAAAAAAAAATTGCTAGAATTAACTAAAAATGCTTGTTTGGAACAACAGCGTAGATGGTTTCAATTAAAATAAATATAATAAGTATCTACACGTGTATCAGAAGAGGACAAAGAACTTTCCAAAGAAAGTGTCCGGTGCCGGTGTAAGGAAGTGAGCGCATTAGAATAGAGGTATGGTTTCGGCGCTGGAGTCGATTGGCGCTTGCTTGCATACCTAATCGATAGAAATGAGTATCTGTCTATAAAATGAGGTTCAAAGTGTTTTGTGTTTTGTTTGTATATTGATTTAAGGTTGTAAATATTTTGGTAACTGAACACAGTTAACTTTTTTTATTTAAATCTTTGACTGACGACAAAAATGTTGTCCGAAATGGCGTTCAATGTATTGATGGGATTGGGCATATCAAAATAAGTGATAATATTTAATACTCTTTCCAAGAGTTAAAGGGCCGCAACCGTAACAGGTCGATACCAAAGATGTTGTTAAGTTTAATATTACATACTGGAACCATAACAAGCGGAAAACTTCACAACCTTTTCCTAACCTATATCTAATATATAAAAATGAATCGCGAAATGTGTCAAGCGCATAAGTCAAGAACGCCTGGACCAATTTTGCCAAATGTTTTTTTGTTTTATTTATTGTTGCCAGAAGAATGTTCTTATCAAAGGAAATTTAGGAAATGTCGAGGGGAAAATTGGTCGTTTAGCGAGAGTTGGACCGGGGCGACCGGGGGCGGGCTGCTAGTTTTTAAAAAAATCTGAATATGAAGAACTTTTAACTGTTAAAGATTGCACAATTTCAGCAACTTTGACTTGACGCCAAAATTGTAAGCAAATATCGACCTTATGACTAAAATATTTTCCCAAACAACAATAATATACAATTTAAATGTACAGCATTGCATCTTTTGTTGTCAGTTAGGTAGACAATTGAATGGACATTAATGCACGGTTTTGCATTTTGTCGTTGGTTTACAGTTAAGGTCGATGACAGTTTGTCACTACTTAGAATTCTTCTTGACCGTTTGACCGGTTACTGTAGGGCGAAAGTGTGGAACAAATTTTGGCCGTCTCTTGGCCCTGTGTCGACGTCACGGGTCAGTAATCGGATGTATTGTTGTGGTCTTGGGAGCCCCTGGGGAGAAGGTTCCTAGTGATTGACTATGTTTTCTTTTTCTCTACACTTAATGAGGACATAACGAGCAGTAATGAAGTTTCTGTCTGCCAAATGTAGGATGGTAAACGATAAAGAATTCTACGATGCCCATTTAAGAATGCGTTTCATAAATTAATAAAATGCTCATCATCACCACGGAAAGCGTCTTTGCGAATAATATGGATGGTGTATTAACGATAATAATGAAGGAAAAGATCTAGTAAGAAAATGGCACACAGCGTACAGTCTTTTAATTTTTTGTCAGCTATATCGTAGGTATCATTTTAATCGGTTCAAGTACTTAGCACGGCACTGGTTGTAGATAAAGTGCAATGATATATCGCTGCCTAGCTCGGGGTAGGAGAGGGATGGGTTTTAGTCAGATCGGCATCCTAAGTACCGCCCCAGCCCGTGCCCCGACTTGGACTAGCTCCAGAAGGAGTGGGGTAATTTTTAGTCAGTAAAAAAACTCTGACACTCCCTGTCGCGCTACCCTGGAGGGAAGAGAAGCAGTTTGAAGATATTCCCTTCTAAAAAACCCAAACTAAACCCACTCAACCAATCCCGTCATTACGTAATAGCACAAAACTATAGTGATTTATGGTAAACTATAATTTACTCGGTCGTAAAACACGTTGACCTGATTCCAAGTTCTACGGTCGATTTTTATGTCCGTAACAACTTTTCCTAAGTGAAGAAAATCGATTGTTGCAGTGTTTTCACTAACATTGCTAATGTAAAACATTGTACAGTCAGGAGTCAAAAATGCATTTGCACTCTACCAATTTTAAAATGACCAAAATATCTTTGTAGAATAGAGTCAATGGTTGAGGACTGCTTTAATTTATAGCATAGAATCTAAGTTATTGAATAAACGGGCTGTGAACCATTGAAATTTTACAAAAAATAAATTTTAGTCATATTAAAATTGGTAGATTAAAACCGTTTTACCCACAACTTTTGAAATGGCATCGAAAACTAGAAAGAGTTTTGGCAAAATCGCTCTTAGTGCTTTTATATTAGTGCCTTGTTTGGTGTGGCGGCGTCAATTGCTTACCATCATATAATCCCTGATCTTATTTACCGTCCTATCACAAACAAATCTTAACCCTTCTTCCACCTGGATAGGGTGATAGATCGACAGAGACGGGATGCAGAACTTCATTGCGCTTTACCTGTAAGATTTAAACGCCCTCTTAAAAATACTTGTTGTCAAATTTTCTTCTATAAAAACCTTACTAAAACCGTAAGATATTTATGTTGTTCTGATAGGTTACAGTTAGAAAATGCCGTAAATAAATTAGGCAAGTCATACAAACATATACCTACCTATAGTAAACTACGCTAAAAGGAGGAGCTAACCAAATAAAGACATACTAAATATATAATTTAATTAATTACAATTTTTCGCTTACAATAACCACGCCCTCTATGTTCTATGTGACATTAATTAATTGTTACAAACGGATTTACATA